CTGTAGCATCATAGCTCACAGCAACCTCCAACTCCTGGGCTTAGGCAATTCTCTTGCCTCAGCTTCCTGAGTAGCTGGGACTACAGGCACCTGCCACAACGCCTGGCTATTTTTTTGTTGCAGTTTGGCTGGGGCTGAGTTTGAACCCGCTACCCTTGGTATATGGGGCCGGCGCCCTACTCACTGAGCCACAGGCACCGCCCAGTTTGATTTAATCTTTTAAGATGATTTCTAAAAGTTAAAATGTACAGGACAACATGGCAGTATTGGGTCCCCCTAGAAAGAAAATGGCAAATGTCAGAAACAGTGGAAAAACAGGAAGTAAAATGCCTTTAGGGGAGAATTAGCCCACTTCATAATTCTGCCTATAATTCTTCTTCTAGTAGTTGAATTTCTTTCTTTCTAGCACTTGTGTTTACTAGCTTTGTTACTATATATATTTTTTCCTCAGAGTATTGCTCTGTCACCCTAGCTAGAATGCAGTGGCATCATCTTAGCTCACAGCAACCTCAAATTCCTGAGCTCAAGCAATTCTCCTGCCTCGGTTTTCTGAGTAGCTGGGAGTACAGGTGCCCCCCCACCATGCCCAGCTGATTTTTTTACTTTTTGTAGAGACAAGGCTTTGCTTTTGCTTAGGTTGGTCTCAAACTCTTGAGCTTAAGCAATCCTCCTACTTCAGCCTACTAGCTGAGGAGTGCAAGGTGTGAGCTACTTCACCCAAACTCATTTTATTTATTTTATTTTACTTTTTTTTTTTGCAGTTTTGACGAGGGCTGGGTTTGAACCTGCCACCCCTGGTATACGGGACCAGTGCCCTACTCCTTGAGGTACAGGTATTGCCCGTATTTTATTTTACTTTATTATTTTTTTCTTTTTGAGACAGCATCTCACTTGTTGCTCTGGGTAGAGTGCTGTGGTGTCATAGCTCACCGAAACCTCAAACTCTTGGGCTTAAGCGATTCTCTTGCCTCAGCTTCCCAAGTACCTGGGACTACAGGTGCCTGCCACAACGCTATTTTTTTTTAGACACAAGGTCTTGCTCTTGCTCAGGCTGGTCTAAAACCTGTGAGCTCAAGGGATCCATCCACTTTGGCCTCCCAGAGTGCTAAGATTACAGGCGTGAACCACTGTTTTTTTTTTTAAATAATGGAAAGAAAGCAACAAGGCTGTATAGTGCTGGAACAACCCTCCCACTGAGAATTACCAAAGAAAAAAATGAGTTTTTGATGAGACAGAAGAGCTTCCAAAGCAGCAAAGATTTGATGGAACAAATTCTCAGCCAGAATGTAATCCCAGGATTTGACTCAATATTTGGCACAATTTACATTCTCAAGGAATTTTCTGATTGGGAAAACAAGAGCTAGGCTGAAAATCTGAGCAGAAAGCAGTTAGCAAGAGCCTGAGGACATTGCCAGTCTCACAGAGCTAGGTGTGTTGGTCAGACCTAGACCAACACTTTAAAAACAATCATGACCAAAACGTTCAGGCCATCAAGTGGCCGAGTGGAACATTTAAATAGGAACTAGAATCTTTATTCCAGCAACTGGAATTTTTATTCAATGCAAAATAAGGGACTAAATGCAAAGTCTAGAACTCAAATATACAGTAACTGAATATTAAAAACTCAACAGATGAATTTAACAATAGATTATGTATAGCTGAAATGAGAGAAAGACCAATGTGGAGGATAAATCCAAGAAATATGCCAAAAAATGAAGACGCTGATCCTTCTGTAGCTCATCAGCTTGAGGGCTGCGTTTTCATGCGCATGCGTGAGATGTGCCGCGCCCAGATCTTGTCCTGACGTCGGCACCGCACCGCCTGACGGGAAAGAAAAAAAGAAGAATGAAGTCGCGGGAGACGGGACGGTAAGAGGCCAAAGAGACAGAGAAAGTTCTAACTGACGGGCTCGACTCGGTGGGTAGGGCGCCGGCCACATGCACTGGCGCTGGCGGGTTCAAACCCGGCCGGGCCTGCTGAACCACAATAACATCAACAAAAACAAACAACCCGGTGTTGTGACGGGAGCCTGTGGTCCCAGCTACTCGGGAGGCTGAGGCAGGAGAATCAACTAAGCCCAGGAGTTGGAGGTTGCTGTGAGCTGGGACGCCACAGCACTCTACCCAGGGAGACATAGTGAGACTCTGTCTCTACAAAAAAAAAAAACAAACAAACCTAACTAACATATGCGTCATTTTAGTCCCTGAAAAAGAGGAGACCAACTGTAGAAAAGAAAGAAATATTGTATCTGACAATCTTCTATATACTGTTACTATAAACTTATTTCTTTCAAGCACAATAAAGCTCTTAAAGCTACTTGGCTCAGGTTTCATGATACTTTCCCATATTTGTATTTCATATATATATTTGAGACAGAGCCTTACTCTGTGGCCCTGGGGAGAGTGTGTATTTTTAATGTTTTAATGATAGGAAGATTATTCTCTTTAACTTATTTAATTATTTTTAGTGGGTTAAAAATAATTGCATAATGGAAACATGCTCTTTTATATTGAGAAGTCATGGACAAATAAGAATTATAAATTAGACTCGGCGCCTGTGGCTCAAGTGGCTAAGGTGCCAGCTACGTACACCTAAGGTGGCGGGTTTGAATTGAGCCCAGGCCGCCAAAACAACAATGACAGCTGCAACCAAAAAATAGCCAGGTGTTGTGGCGGGTGCCTGTGGTCCCAGCTACTTGGGAGGCAGAGGCAGGAGACTC